CTTTAGCATGCACACAAAAAGGGCAATTTACTGCTAGTAAAAATTGTTTTTTTGTCAATTATTTAAATGACAGCCTGCAAATCTTAATTGTTAATTACTATTTGAGGCAATGATGCAGGCGTAGAGCTGCCAGATGGATCCATTTTACTGGCCACTTGATTAACAACGTGTGGGTGTTCACACACAAATACACATATTTACATATGCAGAGTGTTTGCTGCAGCAAAATGACACTAATAGCTTCAAGAGCTGGTCTCATTAAAATGAGCTAATAATAGGAACATCAGAATACATTCTATTCACTGGATTTAGATGCATGAAGTTGCCACACAAGCGGAGACCCCAGAGTTTCAAGCTCCTTTCTGAATAGTGCATTTTGGTTCTTTGAACAACTTGCAAAGGAGCGAAGGGAGGGCTAAATGTTTAAATGAGGTGAACGGGTCAGGGAAAAAATGCTGGAATTACTAAAGGAGGCTGGGCAAGGATACCTCAGTGACCCCACGTGAGTATATGGAGAGTGATTGTTTTCTACCCATCATACACTTGAGGTTAACGTAGCACATCTAAGGGACTAAAGGTACAGAAAAGCATATTGGAAGGAAGAATTACAGTAATTCCTCACTTAAAGTGTCCTAGTTAACACTGTTTTGTTATTAAATTGTTGATCTATTAGAGAACATACTTGTTTACATTTGCGCAATGTTCCATTATAAAGTTGTTTGACTTGCCCTGCTCTTCCTGCCCATCCGGCATCCTAGCTGAGGAGCGGGGCTGGGACATGAGGGCTTGCCCCATTCCTCCTGCCCAGCATTCCAGCCAGACAGTGAGCAAACCCCTCTCCTGAATCTGACCTGGATCCCTAGAAAGAGTGCTGAGCAGGCAGAACGAGGCAACCCCACTCCCTAGAAAGAGTGCCAGGCAAACAGAGCAGGAGATGCCCCCTCACCCCAGCCCTATTACACCCCTACTTCCATCAAGCTGCATAATCATCATTGGTGAGTACAGCATTAAATGGCTTGTCTAAAATAATGTATAACATATGTTGTAATATGCATACACTGTCTTTTGTGTGGAGAAAACATTTTCCCTGAAACCCCACTCCCTAGAAAGAGTGCCAGGCAAACAGAGCAGGAGATGCCCCCTCACCCCAGCCCTATTACACCCCTACTTCCATCAAGCTGCATAATCATCATTGGTGAGTACAGCATTAAATGGCTTGTCTAAAATAATGTATAACATATGTTGTAATATGCATACACTGTCTTTTGTGTGGAGAAAACATTTTCCCTGAAACTTAACCTCCTCCCCCCCACCATTTACATTAATTCATATGGGGAAACTGGATTTACCCCCACCTCTGCTTCAGTATCCTTCTGTATCCTACTGTACTCTCCTGCTTCAGAAGATACTTTCCATTTGTTTCATGATGCACTGAAACCTAACTGCAGAGAGCCAGGTCTTTGAAAAAAAGTTAATTAAACCCATAGAATTTATGGGAGATGATAATTTGTTACTTGAACCCATTTGGCTGACAGGTAAACTGAGATGCAGATGGATGTCAATGGAATAATCCTCAGAAGAATCAAGAGTAGGATACCAGAGTCCTAGTGCACAATTTAATTCTTGCCTCCACACAACAGTCTCACCTTTATTATTTGTGTGCATGGGACAAAACTCTAACATGCAATGCATTAGCTAAATTTTTATATATTTTTGAGAGAGGTTCTCTGTTTGTCTGTTAACCCAAGAACTCCTCCTAAGTGGTAAGAGCTAGAACCACTGAATTTGGTATATAGCTTCCTCTTATAATAATGTAAAGCCTGGTCAGGGTTTGGTTGGGCCAGGAAAATGGGATGTGCCTGGAATGGGATTGCTTCTCATAAAACCATACAGAAAAGAGACAGAATCACCAGGCAGGTGAACACTGCTGGCTGGCGGGGTGACCCCTTCTACCCCAACCCTGCCCCCCCTCCCAAGATTCATAGGGGGGCATTGTTTTCCTTTGACAGAGAAAGAGGGAAAAGTGCAGTTTGCTGTATTCCTCACTGTGGCTGGGGAACACAGAGGGAAGACAAGTTGTGCACTTTGCTCTTGTGTCCTGACAGAGACAGGAAAGGGAAGAGCAAGCAGCCCTGGTCCGAATCTATAGGGGGGCTACAGCAATACGACCTCTCCCCTCCAGAGTGACTGACAGAGACACACACACAGAGTCTTTTGCTGCCCAGAGCCCCTTTTCACCCTCCAAACCTGACTCCTACACACCCTGCCCTGAGCCTTTCCTTAAGGACCTGAGCAATACTGAGTAAATGTGCTAGTGTATGTGTACAGACTCTGAGTGCGCCCATACCAAAGGTGGCTGTTATCACCGTTAAAGTAGTTTTGTTGCCTCAGTTACGTCCCACATCACTGGGGCACTATCCAGCAAATTGCATCTGAAAGAACAGCATTGCCTTAATGCTAGTTGCTTGTAGGAGACTGGGATATGTGATTCTGCAAAGCAAAACATGGGTGCCATTCTTTCATCCTCCGTACCCACTGCAGAGACTGCTCGGAGTCCTCTTCCCTCTGAGATAATGCAAAATAGTCTCAAACTTATGCCGGTTGCCATTGTACTTTGCAGTATATAATTCTTTAAGTTAGCACACTTTGTGCTGGTTAAAGCTGTTACGTTAATTACTGTTACTAATTTAACACATTATTCAAATCCATATACATTCCCAGAACATCAGCTGAGCAGTCATAAACCACTCCCTTTCCTTTATGGTCTCTTCAGTGGGTTATTGTTGTTTTTTGCATGCTTTGCATAAGAGTGACTTTTGTTTCCATTCCTAAATTACTGCACTTTAAAGGTCATGGGGTGCGCATCTGAGACGTAATGCTTTAAAAATATGTTGTACAAGGCAGAAATAATTGTTTTATTACCAAAACCATGCTCTGTTTTTGTTTTGTGTATATTTGATACTAGGTTATAAATTATTTGGAGAAGAACCTTCCCTTCGCCTTGTATTTGTATGGCACTGCACATATTCTGAACAAATAATGTGGCTCCTATAAACCATTGAAATGCAAACACTTAATAATAATAATAATTAATAACTATTTCTCCCAATGGGTATTATCTAGTGTATATCTAATATTTCATAATTTTTTCCATGTTTCTAATGCATTTTTATAGAATCATACAATGGAAGCAACCTAATCAACTCGGCCATCCACTGCAGTCTATTACCACATCACATGCTTACTTTGGGCTAGCATAGGAATTTCCCATCAATCTATTTTTTCTCATATTTTTACTAGCCTAGTTTTAAATGGCTCAAGGCTATGTAAATCTACTGGTTGTAGTAATGAAAAACACGCAGATGATCATTATACCTGGAATAATGTTTACGTGATGTACATTAGTCACCCACTAGATGTGTCAGTGTTCTGTATAGAGTTCCCGACAAAGCGTGGTTCCCCATAGAGACAAAGTTGGAACTCAGGCTGTGATGCAGCCTGTTTATGTCTGAATTTAAGTTCTTTTTTTTTTTAATAAATGGGTGTCCTGTTTAAAACAGACTGTGATTCCTCACAGAGACTCAATGTTATGGTAATTTTTGGTAGCTTAGTTGCATAGAACTATTTTTTCCATGTCCCCCCCACCCCGACAGTCTTAAGCTGCATCTTGTCACTTAAGTCTTTTAAAAAACCTACTCCTGCCCTGATGTCTTCTATCTGTCATTAGTTAAGCAAATGATAAGCAGCAGCTTCTGCTTTTCTGCTTAACTGTGTTCATTCTATCCCATCCTTCCACTTTTCCCTATCTCATTTGTCCTCCTGTTGCATCCTGCCTGTCATGCCATGACTGTAAGCTCCCCGAAGCAAGGACTTTCACTTATGCTACATATCTGTACAGTACCTTGCCCACTGGGATTCTGATCTTTAATTAGGGTTCCCAAGTGCATATACAAAGTACAGCAATAAAACAACAGTCAAAATGAAATCCTTGTATTTATTACCGTTTCTAACGTTTTCCCTTTGCTTTGGTTTTGGCACAGATTGTTTCACAAAGGAAACTCTCCAAATCCCTACTGAAACATGGGAACACAGCAGGGAAATCATCCATAACAGTAAGCCAGATTTAAAATTATTTTCTCCGTACTTTTCCATAAACATTTCCTACTGAGTTTGTATGATCTCTAACTGAAAAAAAAAGTTTGATCCTTCTGATTTATTTTAATGTCACTGGTAAAATACCTGTAATTTACAAATGGCAAGAAAGTAATTTTTGTTTTTTTTCCAAGTGTCAGAAAGTGCATTATTTAGGAAAAAGTATAGAGAAAAGAAGTTGTCCTGTTTGGTTATTTCTAATCCAAACTTTATAGCCTTTAAAAGTGTACTTACGCTTGATTTTTCTAACACCAGTACAGATGCTTAGTTTTATACATCTGTGTAGTCCCATTGACTTCACTAAGCATCAAGTTAAGTACATCCATATGTCCTTGTAAGATTAGGGGAACATTTCTTTTGTAAACACTTTTGCTTCAAACATGTCTGAATTTTTTTGAGCAGTTTTGACTTTTTGTGCCAAAGCAATGGCTCACCAATATATTTATGTAGGGATGGAGAAAAAAACATTAATTAGTTCGAACAAGGGTTTTGACACAACTCTAACCTTTAAAGCTTTTATGAGTCCCTGTCCAAGGTTTCTTAACATTCAATTTACTGCAGTAAAACCTTGAACTTACTGTAAAATGTGAGGAGGACTAAATTTTAACAGCCAGGAAAATTATAGTACAGAAGAGGGCTATAAGGGGGTGTGTGTGGGGGTGTGTGTTTATGAAAGCATGTATACAATATACTATGTATAACTTTTTTACACACACCCACGCACACACACGACTTGAAAAAACTAATTATGACTGGCGAGTATATATGTTTCCCGGAGAACAGGCTAAACCAGCCATTTTTTAAGATTATACAAACATAGAAATAAGCTGAAATCCATTCCCTATGGCACTCCGAATCAAATATAAGGCGATAACATGATGATAAATAAAGATGTAAGGACTGCTTTGCATTTGCATCATGTTAAGCCCCCGTTATGCTGCCAGACCAGTGTAAAGCAGCATTTCTTAATCTGTGCTTTGCAGCCCCACATTGGGTTGCCGGAATCTGTCACTTTGCAGCTCCTGTGTCTCATTCCTATGGGCTGGCTGTCCTGGCTCCTTGTTTCAGGTATTGCAACTTCATCGCAGCACTGCTCGGGTTTGGCCCTGATGTCCCTCGGTTTTGAAGACCGGAGGGCAGCCAGGCCACATTTGAGTGATTTGCATAATGAACTGGTGTGCCAGGTCACAATGCCATGTGCACAAATTTGGCCCAGATCCTCCGGCCCCTTTAGGGGAATAGAACAAAGCCCTGAGCCAAGTTGTAATCCCAGAGGTCACAATACCTGGGGCAGAGAGCTAAGCCCAACCAGCCCCACTGGACAGAAGGTGCAGGAGAGAGTGCAGTGGGGGGGAGAGGGGTGTAAGCAGCAACACCCTCCTCCCAGCAGGAGGACACCCCCCAAGTGGGAGGACCCAACCTCCCTTTGGGCCTTTCACACCAGAGGCAGACACCACCCCTAGACTATTTACTTGTTCATGGAAGGCTGTCAACATTTACATATGGGTCCTGAGCCCAAAAAGGGCGAGACACACTGGTGTAATGGGATTTAGTGTGAACAAGAATCAATCCCGTAGTTCTCTTATATATGGGCATTCTGGTACTTGTTGGAAAATCCATGTGATGGTGCAATATAAACATTTAATAATATTTAAATAACGAGACCCAAGAATAGTGAGGTGAGGATTTGGACTACAAAAGTGCAACTCCTGGTTTGACAATTGATGTTGCCTAGTTGCTATAGCAAGTAACTGGCATCAGGATTTGCAAGATGAATTCCTCTCTCTGCCATTGTCTAGCTGCCTGATCTCAGACAAGTCACTTAACCTCTCGATTCCTCAGTCTGTTGGTAGAATACTTCCCTCTTCCCTGGTATCTTGTGAAGCTTAGCTGATTGACATGTCTGTGGCCCCTTGAGAAATATGCTGCATAATTGCAAAGCAATAGTAATATTTTAAGATTTCTCCTCAGAAACCTAGAATGACAACAAAATAAATAAGGAGGTACATATTGTTAGCCTTTCTGCAGACACTTTTGCTAACTACTTCTCTGCCAGGGCATTGAAAATATCAATTCAATTTTACTATTAATAACACAGCTAAGGATTACATCTCCTGGCTCTTACCCAATGGTACTGTGAAGCAGATGGAATTTCCTCAAATTAGAACAGTTGAACTCAAACAGAAATAATTTTATGAAAACCTGGGTATCTCAATGTGATAAATCAAAATAAAATATTTTTAATTCATTTGGTCCCAGGATACATTCTGAGCATCTGTGAAATAGGGGATTTACTAATGTTAATGTTGCAATTTATTTTTAATACATGGCTCCTATTGTTTTCATTAGTGAATAGGAAAATTTCACTTCTCAGATAGGTGTGTGATTATCTTTAATATAGTGCTACCTTTAGCATTAACTAATCACAGGCTATCATTATTATTACAAGGCTGTGGAATAGTAGTGGTTTTTCAACCACTGAATGAGAGGTCTGTGAGTGCTTATAACTGTAACACAATTATAAAATATCGCTGAAGCTTAAAATGTGGTATGCAGAAGCCTACGTGCTAATGGTGATGTGTCCTACATGATCCTTCCAACCTGCAGATTATCTGGGACAGAAAGGTAACAAATATCATGAGTTTTTGTGGGTAAAACCACTTCATCATTCAACATGGCTGATGAATTGGGTTTTACCCATGAAAACTCACAATGTAGTATTTGTGTTAGTCTTGTAGGTGCTGCAGTAGTGCTTGTTGCTTGACTAATAGGGCTATCCCTCTGAGACTTTTTACATGTCAGTCAGGTATGGGTGTGTTTTTCCTGACATAACAATGCCAGTAAAAGCCCGAGGCCATGTTTACACCACAGACTTTTACTGTCTTGGCTGGGTCATCCAGGGGTGTGGTGAAGATCTTTAATCAACATAGCTGTGGTGGGAAAAGTCCTTGATGAAGATTCAGTCCTTGCACTTTTACCAGAGTAGCTTATTTCAGGGGGCTAGAGTAAATTATACCATGAAAGCCCAGTTTTGCCAATAGAAGCTACTAGAGTTCAGCTGTATAGTTATACCAGCAAAGCCCACCTAGTGTAGATGCAGTTGCATTAGGGTAACTCTGCTTATACTAGCATAATTTGTGTCAGGCAGGGGAATTCACATAAATTATACCAGACTAGGTCTGTATTGCCAAGTTTTGCTGGCCATAGCTACATTGATTAGGAATGAGAAAATATCACATGCCTCTAGCAAAGGTAGGTATGGGTCAGACCTCCTCTGCTCACCTCTCTCTCCTCCCACCCATTTGCAGATGCAGTTTATACCAGCCAGACTCATTTTGTGAATGTAGCCAATGATGTTATTTGGGGAGATGATTTAACTATCATGGTTTAAGCTGTATCTCCAGTATGGGTTTTGCTGGAATAGCCATAACAGCAAAGCCTTTGTAGTATAGATTAGCCCCCAGTGTAAGAGTCTTTATGCTGATAATAACTGCATCTCCCCCATTGGGCTATACAATTATATTATACTATACTAGGATATACTAGCAAAACCCTCCTACTGTAGACAAGGTCTGAATTTTATTCACAGCTGATTTTATTCTTTGCTTCTTCATTTATCATGGCAGGTTGCATAGAAAAATCTTTAAAACTATGTGTGCTGTTTTGACCTATTTTGATATGTCTGCTAGCTAAGCATCTGGTTTCTTGCAAGGTGATTGTCAGTTTCCAGCTGATAGGGTCTATAGTCCACAGGCTGGTAAATAGCATCTTTCCAAATGTTTTCTTTCATTATACATGCAAAACTCAAATGTAGCTTCTTATTTAGGTGATTGCCGAAGAATTATCCGGCAACGATGACTATGTTGAACTTTCATTCAGTGCACGGAAATTAGACGACAAGGTAAGGTGTTTGATATTAACCTTATTGTAAGATATAAGAATGCCTGGAAATATGATTTAATAAGATTTTCTCCCACAGCTATTTTTGGTTGCTTGACGTTATTAAACACATCAGAGATTTCAGATCAATGCTCCCAATGAGGCTTTCCTCAAGTTGCAAAGTAATTAAAAATACTCAAGGGAATGTAATTAAAACCAAGACAATTTAATTATGCTGAGACCTCATTTATTTAAAATGCCACCGATCAGAAGTGTTAAGATAAGTGAGCTTTTTAAGAGGAATCAAGATGTAATATTCAAAGTAGGCATCTTAACATAATGCTTGAATACTTCACATCAACCTGGACACCATATATATATATATATATATATATATATACACACACACACACACACACACATTTTATTCAGCAAAATATATCTGTAATATGAGAAACAGTGTCCTTCTTTGTGTTTGTCAAAACCATCTCCAGTTTAGTCATTAATTTATGCATAGATTAATACCTACCTCATCACTCATCTTTATCCATCAATGTTGACCACTCTTATGAATTATACTTATATAATACTTTACCGCTATATAGCACCTTTCACCCCAAAGAACTCAGATAACTTTGTATATAAGTCACATCCTTGAATAATCAAAGGTAATAGGAAGCATTTAATTATTTAAGGTAGTAGAGGGAACATCGTTGTAATTAATGGATATCATGGGGCCATGACCCTGTTTTGGATAACTGGGATATTTAGATAATTGAAGGTCAGATAACCACTGTTGCACTGAAAGTCAAATACTCACCATTAGAATGCAGACTCTTTTTCGCTGTTATGCTACTCCTAATTAGTAACATGGTGACACCAAACAGCAGTTTAGGACACAATCCTGAAAAGGCTTCTATAAATACATATATATGTTAGTTTACATGTGTGAGTGGCTCAATTATATCAATAGGAGTAGAGTTATGTATGTACATGGTGTTTACAGGATCAGACCATATCTGAGGAATAATAGCATATGAATTTAAACTGCCACAAAAACGTAGGTAGGCAGAATATAATGAGGAGTGCTGGAATTTGATCAGGACACAAGGGTTAATAGCATCCCTCTATTTAGCATCTTTAATGACCATAAACGATGAGTCCCATCTGGAAGATGAATTACCCCCCTCACTGGGAGTTGCTGAGTCCTCACTGAAAATTAGATAATTTATTTAGGTGCCAAAATGTAGATTTAAGAAACTAACTTTAGTCACTGCTTTTAAAAATCATTGTTTAAAATTTCAGCATTCGTGACAAGAGCATCATGGCACCTGCTCTTTCTGTTATCTTATGGCTGATCTGATTGGCATTGAGGAGGGATAGCTCAGTGGTTTGAGCATTGGCCTGCTAAACCCAGGGTAATGAGTTCAATCCTTGAGGAGGCCATTTAGCAATTGGGGCAAATCTGTCAGGAATGATACTTAGTCCTGCCATGAGGGTAGGGGACTGGACTCAATGACCTTTCAAGGTCCCTTCCAGCTCTATGAGATAACAATTATATAATATAATATAATATATACCTAAGTAATAATATTTTAAAGAATAACGTTTCCTTGTGGGCTGAAAGATTTAATGGGGTGGAAGACTGTTCTTTTCTCAGTTCAGCCAATGATTTGGTGTATTGCCTGAGGAAAGACACTTGAAGCTTGTCAACAAGCTTGTCCAATTCAGAAAAATTAATCTGGATTAACTAAAGGTGTGAATTTAAAGTAGACTAGTTAGGAGCCTGTATTACAGCCTCCACGTGAACGCTCATTGAAAATTAAAGTGGCCTTAATTCAAAAGACGGTTAAGAATCTCAGGGATCTGAAAAAGGACTGCCCTCTGTATGCACCTATAACTGCAGGACACTGACAAGAGACTGTTCAATCATCCATCTAATAGAGAAGAAGGCCAGGGCAGCCTTGGCAAAACACAACAAAAAAGGAGATGGAAGTGAAGTGGAGAGATGAGAGTATCATCATGTTGGGGAAAAGAGAAGGCACAAGAACTGCTGGAGGAATTGGCTTCCTCATCAACAAGGAGTGGGTTTCAAATATCATCTCCGGTAAGTATCATGCATTGGAATGCTGCACCTCCAACTAAACAAGAACAGCACCCTCAAGAATATTCGGATCCCTGCTTCCACCAGCGCAAATGAAGACGACATTGTGGAAGGATTTTATTAAGCACTTGAGGAAACCCAGGCTCAACTAACCACATGTAGGATTGTGGTAGGAGATTTCAATGCCAAAGTTGGAAGAGGGAAAGAAGGTGAGAAAGTTCATTGGCTGGTATGGCATCAATGAACGGAATCCATAAGGAGAGTGATGGCAATGCTGATGGAAACTAAAGAAAGGTTCAATAGTAACACCTGGTTTAAGAAGAAGGCCAAAAGGAGATGGACATGGATGATGCCCAGTGTGAAGAATAAGAATGAGATGGACTATATTCTGATCAATAAGAAGCACATTATGCAAGACATCTCGGTAGTACCCTTATTTAATGCTGGTAATGATGATCACTTGCTCAGAACACGGCTCAACTTCAACAAAAAGGTGGAGAAGAAAGCACTAAAGATGGCAAAACAGAGACAGCCATCAAAAATATTCAACAAGACGATCTTGAAAGGGAATATTTCCAAGGAAGACTGGAATTTTATAGATAACTGGAATGATGATTATAAAATCTTCACTAAGAAGTTAAAGCGAAATTAGCCAAAAAAGAAAGACCAAAAAGAGTGAAGGGAAGAATCTTGGAGGAAACATGGAACTTACTAGAGAAAATGAGGCTTATGAAGCAAAATGATGGTGAAAAACTTGAGTACTCCCTCCTTATGAAAGCTGATAAGAAAACTAAAGGAGGACTTTAATAAACACCAAAATGAAAGTCTCTTAAAGATGGCTGAAGATCACAAAAGCCTCAAAACATGGAAAAAGGAATTGACAGTATACAGCTCAACAATAATGGCACTGAAGAACAGTCATGGAAAACCAGTACCTAACAACAATCATGCTGATTCAGACCAAAGGTCCATCAACCCCAGTATCCTGTCTTCTGACTGTGGTCAAAGGGAATGAACAGGTATTCATCAAGGGATCCACCCCCTGTCACCCTTTCCCAGCTTTTGAACAACAGTGGCTAGGGACATCATTTCTGCACATGCTGGCTAATAGCCATTAATGGACCTATCCTTGATGAATTTATCTAGCACTTTTTTGAACCCTATTAAGGTCCTGGCCTTCATTACATCCTCTGGCAATGAGTTCTACAGATTGACTGTGTGTTTGCATGAAGTAGTACATCCCTTTGTTTGTTTTAAACCTGCTATCAATTAATTTCATTTGGTGACTCCTAATTCTTATGTTACGGGAGCAAATAAATAACTTTTCCTTATTCACTCTCTCTACACCAGTCATGATTTCATAGACCTCTATCATATCTCCCCTTAGTCTCCTCTTTTCTAAGATGAAAAGTCCCAGTCTTTTTAATCTCTAATTTCTCTTCATATGGCAGTCGTTCCAAGCTTCTAATAATTTTTATTTCCATTTTCTGAACTTTTTCAAGTACTAAGATATCTTTGACAGAATTGATAGAACAGGAGTGGAAGTGGCCTGTAAAGATTTTCACAACAAATTGTCTGAGTCTCAAATAAATGTCCCAGTACCAACACTTTAACAGATTAATAAGCATGTACTGAACTCCCAGTCCTTGCCAGTGAAGTTTGACATACAGTTCACTAAATGGAGGAAGGAAAAGTCCCAGGGAAAGATGGACTTACAAACAAAATGATAAGAGCTAGAGACACAAGGCCTCTGGGAAACTGTTGTTCAGAGTTTTAGCCATTATTTGGAAATGCAGATGATGCCATCTGACTGGAAGGAGTCCAACACTATCCTGCTGTAAAAGAAAGATGATTGTGAAGATCTAAAGAACTATCATCCAGTATACCCTGTTCTCATATGTGTACAGGATGTTCACCAAAATAACAACATACTGACTCTCATGGGGTCTGGATGAGCAGCAGCGGAGAGAGTGAGCAGGCTTTCAAAGGAATTTCAGCACAATGGACCATATTTTCACTATAAACCAGCTATTGGAACCCTCAAAGGAATACGAATTCCCATTATCATAGAATCATAGAATCATAGAATAATAGGACTGGAAGGGCCCTCGAGAGGTCATCGAGTCCAGCCCCCCGCCCTCAAGCCAGGATCAAGCTCCGTCTACACCATCCCTGACAGATGTCTATCTAACCTGTTCTTAAATATCTCCAGAGAGGGAGATTCCACCACCTCCCTTGGCAATTTATTCCAATATTTGACCACCCTGACAGTTAGGAATTTTTTCCTAATGTCCAATCTAAACCTCCCCTGCTGCACTTTAAGCCCATTACTCCTTGTCCTGTCCTCAGAAACCAAGAGGAACAAATTTTCGCCTTCCTCCTTGTGACACCCTTTTAGATATTTGAAAACCGCTATCATGTCCCCCCTTAATCTTCTTTTTTCCAAACTAAACAAGCCCAGTTCATGAAGCCTGGCTTCATAGGTCATGTTCTCTAGACCTTTAATCATTCTTGTCGCTCTTCTCTGGACCCTTTCCAATTTCTCCACATCTTTCTTGAAATGTGGCGCCCAGAACTGGACACAGTACTCCAGCTGAGGCCTAACTAGTGCAGAATAGAGCGGCAGAATGACTTCACGAGTTTTGCTTACAACACACCTGTTGATACAACCTAGAATCATATTTGCTTTTTTTGCAACAGCATCACACTGTTGACTCATATTCAACTTGTGGTCCACTATGACCCCTAGATCCCTTTCCGCCATGCTCCTTCCTAGACAGTCGCTTCCCATCTTGTATGTATGGAACTGATTGTTCCTTCCTAAGTGGAGCACTTTGCATTTCTCTTTATTAAACCTCATCCTGTTTACCTCTGACCATTTCTCTAACTTGCTAAGGTCATTTTGAATTATGTCCCTA